CGCTCGCTGTCGATCACCGGCGGCGATGCACGTGGGTACCGCGTTGTTGGGAGTGCCTATATCCATGGCATGATGGACGGGGAGTTCGAATCTCAAGATAGTGGTCTGACAGGAGATGCGGGATGGGAGTCCTTGAGACTAGAGTAGGTCTGTTGGTCAAGTGACAGGCTGTCAGTTTGAGACCTGTCTCAGCTTAGGGATTTCAATTGAAAAGTGGGAGGTTTCTCAGGTAGGTAGCTTTATGGAGCCTGGCGGTGTTTCCCGGGTGGAGACTCAAACGCGCCTGCCTTTCTTTCATGGGTTGAAAATTGCTAGCAAAAATCAGAGCGAGAATATTGGAGCTGAATAATGACGACAAAATTGAAGTCCAAAAATATTTACATGAAACCATAGGTACACGCAAAGAAATCCCCCAAATGACCCTCATCTCTTGAACAAACACGGCGACACTTCACTCAAATCCTTCAAAGGTAGTTCAGCTGCCACCAGTCAATCAAGTTCTTGAGGTTGGGCTGAACGCCGATCTTGTCAGTCCAGGGCGTCGCTGAATCGGTGCCGCCAAGCTTCATACGGCTCCTCAGCGCCGAAGGTGACAACTTGCCGCCGGTCCTGACCTTGACGATACCTTGCATGCTCAGAGCTGCGCCAGCAATGATGGGGGCGGCACCCGACGTTCCAGAGAAATCAGCATAGGAATCAGTATAAGCAGGGACATCAACGCTCGAAGTGCGAATGTTCTCGCCCCAGGAGTGGACATCGACGCGGCTGCCGTAGTTGGAGAAGGACAAGCGGGTGCGGGGGGTGCTGGAGCTGCCCGCAGCGACGACGATCGCGCCAGAGTCACGGAAATGGGGGTGACCGACGGTAAGGAGAGACTTGGGGACGGTGGAACCCGGACGGGTGACGGGAGTGTCCATGTTGACACCGCCATTAGCGGCAGGCTCGACGACGGTGATGCCGAGAGCGACAGCCAGCTGGATAGCATCGAAGTTGGCATCGTAAATCTCGACGGGCCACAGGTTGAGGAATTCGTCGCCGACTTGCATCTCGAGGAGCATGACGTCTGTCTTGGGTTAGCCTGATAATTCAAAGTCTAGAAAGAACGGAAGGTACGAACCGCCATAGCCGAGGAAAGAGGCAGCATCGAGGATGGCCTCGGGTGGGTTCTCCACTGGGCCTCCACCGACGGTCCTCTGGATACCAACAACATCGCCCTTCGCAGCGGGGACGATTCCGACGCCGCCCTTGTTGTTGTCCGCCATGAGCATCTCACCGAGCACAGCAGTACCGTGGGGGTAGTTGCCGCCATATCGATCCAGGACGTTCTGGCCGGCCAAAAGAGTGATGTTTTGCGTCACAAGATCCTCGTGGTCGAGCTTCCAACCGCGCTCGATATCAATCACCTTAGTGTTGGCGCCGTCGCCACCGGCATGGCCCCAGGCATATTGCGCCTCAATACCGCCGGGAGCTGCCTTGAGGTAGCCCTGGTTGGCGAACTGAGGGTCGTTGGAGGGAAAGACGGCAGGGGACTTGGAGGTGCCAAGCGGCTGGCAGCTCGCCACCTCCTCCTGAGTGCCAAGAGTGTTGAGGAGGTTGACAACTTCAGGATCGTAGGTGCCGTCCGTCGGGGCATCCGACTGGAACTGAACTTGGTACCAGGCACCGAAATCAGCCGGCACGTAGCCCGGCGTGATCTCCTTGGCTCTGGCGACCAGCTCTGCGATCTTAGCGGGAGGGAGACCAATGAGGGGCGAGACGCTGAAATCAACATCACGCTTGGCGTTGGTGGTGTTTTGGGCGCTGCGGATGAGACTTTCGACGATCTCGGCGCCAGAAAGAGTGCTGCGGCGCTGAAGAGTCGCCGGGCTGAGCTTGACCGCGATGGCAGCTCGGGGTCCAGCATCAGCATTCCTGGGGATGGAAGCGCCGAGGACGTTGTTGAACAACAAAAGGCCAAAGGCCAACGAGCGACTGAGGACGGTCATGGTCGATGGTGAGTTGGAGGAGTTGAACGAGTGAAAGTGTGCCGGCGAGATGCCCTGAGATGCTGATGAGATAACTAGTTCCTCATGAGAAACCAAAGGTCTTTATATCATGAATCAAAATATACGGCAACCTGAGGCCACCGAACTAGGTAGGTCCATTTTCAGCCTGGGATCACAAGTTCAACTCCAAGGGTGTGTCATGAAGAGTCGCGATTGGCTACCAGACTTTGGGCCCACCACCTCGAGCATCTGGTCGTGGTCAGGTTCGATGCCAATGCTAACCTGAATCAATAGTTCAGGGCCGCGTCTCGACCGGTCCTGGACTGACGCCTGTCTCGTGCAGATCTGAGATTGGAGGGGGTTCGACCCCATGTCCCGGTTCCCCCAACCCACGCACATCCCACGCGAAAGCTGGTGTCGACGTCACATTCCGCGCCTCCACCGCGCTTCTGCCCGGCCTCACAGTAACGCCGATCTCACTCTGAAATTGTCGAGTTCGGACGAACATGCAGGCCTTGCTGGACGAACCGTTGGAATCCAAGGGCCCAGCTCAGCCTCCAGCAGCCAAGAATGCGGCACGGGCACTAATATTGGGACCTCGCTACCAGTGACGATAACGATCTGACCCTCTGCAGCTCGCGTCGGACCGTTACATCGCACTGACAATAACGCCCGCGTCAGTGGATTTGTGGCCTGTCACCCAACGCTTGGCCATGAGCTTGGCGGGCACCTTCGCGCTCTTACACCACTAACGGTAAGGCTGATGGTTCCTTCGCCCGCGGGTGACTCGATCCCCCACGACGACTCTCGCTAAGAATCGCCAACATTGGTGCGCCTGCTTCGGTGCCAAGATCGATTACTGCATACTCCTGAGTCCAGGATCGTATCTCCTGATGTAAGGTACGGACTATCCCTGTTAACAAACAGCACGACGAGCAGCCCACCGATTCCTCAACGAGCGCTAGGCGCGTGGCAACCCTGCATCGTCCCGCGTCAACCTACAAAAGTACTTGGCTGGTTAATACGTAAGGCTGTTTTTCAAACGTCAGTGCGCCAGCGCCAGACTCTATGCTGACCAACCCTCCATCTCGATCGTGGCCTCTGCGGACGATGGGGTGGAAATTGCTAGACTTCTGGTACCAATTCCAATTATTGGGCTTGGAATTCAATGGAATGGTGAAGTGTGGAAGCGTGAGTCTCATCTCAACTTTAGCTCTCAGGAGAGCGCTATGCATCCCCCTTTTTTCCTCTCCGCAACTTACCTTGGCATTATCAAATCAGGAGACTCGGCTTGGACATCGGCATCGAGGACTCATGCCGAGTATGGCTGCCTGTATGCTCGGTCCTCTTGGTCGGGAGGATGCCCAAGCCGCCTCCACCGTTGTCGCACAGCTATCCCTTCGATGGCGTCGCGAGCACGACCGACGTTCCGGTCGGGACAACTTGTTTGTCCACCCGCAAAAGAGAGTTCGTCTGAGACAAGTTCTTTGTTCAAAGTGCTCAATAGCTCCTCAGCTAACCTTCTGCCGGGATGAGAGTGGCAGCTATGGGAGAGTCTCTTTGTCAGCAACCGAATCCGTCATCAAGGAGAGAACAATCTACTTATCAAAGTCAGGCCTTTGTTTCGAGTCGAGCCTGAAATATCGATTCACAATTCCAATAAATAGACCAATATCTCAGCGGTGTTGAGTACCATTTTCAACTCACCAGTGTCTGGCCCTCTGCGAGCAGAAGAACTTCCACTTCCTCTTCTTCCGGTCATCCAGCTAGCACACACCCACTTGAGCAGGTAAGTCTCCATCTTTTGACAAGATGCAGGCAGGACTAATCACCAGCATCGTCCTCACGGTCGTTGCCTTCGTCGCTCTCTGGACCGTCGGTATCCTTGCTCGTCTCGGCTACCTCGGCCCCGGCGCCAAACCCTTCCCCAACCCGTTCCTCCGCCTCAAGACCCCCTTCAACGCGGGCACCGCCATGGAAAGTGGCATGGAGATGCCATCCATGCCACCCACGGTCAAGGACGAGCCACCCGGTGAAGACATCTACAATGATACCCCCCGCGCTTCTCCTACCCTCAAGCCAAAGCGAAAGCTCAGGGAGATGGTACCCCCATCCGCTAAGAACTGGGCCAAGATACCCGTGGCTTTGGTTCGAGGCGACATGAAGACCAAGATGCTGAAGATGCCTCCTCGCGCCATTGTTCCGGATGAGGAGGATGTAGTCAAGACGAGCTGGCTTGAGGATAGTCGGCGGGGGCCGATTGTTGGTGGGAATATGATTGCAGGGCGGGATAATATCGTCGTTGATTCTCACGGACAGATCTATGTCGCTTCTTCTTCTTCTTCCCGCGGACAGGGTTCCGTAAGGCGGAAGGAGGTTCCAAAGAGGGATCCCTCCCGAGGCCGATCGAGGGTTCCTCGTACCCCGAGCCCGATGGGGGCGGAGGATGGGGGCCATGTCGGGAGGGTGAGCCGGGTGAGTGAGGCGAGCAGTGATCACCCGAGAGAGCCGAGAGGAGTCCGGGGCGTAGCCCGGAGTGAGTATGCTGAGGAGTGAGTGAGCTTGACTCGTAGGAACTCGTGAACTTGTTGACCCAGCTGGTTTGGGTGGACGAGTGAGCTGCTCGTGAAGGGTGGTGAGAAATGAAGAATCAAAATTGACTTGAAATCAAAGAATTGAAAATTTGCATGATAAGTGATCAATCGTGACCGTTGTCGTAAAGTATGAAATAATTCCAGCCCTTGCCGTGACGGGTTGTGCGATGTTGACCGGGAGGACACCTAAACACCATCCCATCCCGCAATCCAAACAAAGCAGCAATCCCACACCATCACCTCCCAACACCCATCCAAAAAAAAAAAAAAAAAACTTCACACCAATCATCCCAACCCACCCCACCCCGCCCGCGTTCATTCCCTCCCAGCCAGTATCCCACTACATCAGATGACGGCCCCACTCCGTCCGCTATTGACGACTACACGCCACCCCATTCCAACAACGAAAAGAAAGAAAAAAGAGCCTGTGGTGTAACGGTATCACGTCGCGGACACGCAGAGCACGGCTTCTGTTCGATTCACCTTGCTGGCCCAACTTGCTTGCTTCCTTACCCGACCCTAGGCTGGTATCGGTTGTCGGGTTGCCAAGACTTGCTTGAACCTTGCTTTGATGAACGGGGGGTTGCTGGTGGTCTCTCCTGGACGCGGAATTCCTGGTTCGAATCCGGGTGGGCTCGTATTTTTTTTTTTTTTTGGGGAATTTTCCTTTCTTTTTGGAGGTGTATATGTTGGAGATGTTGGCGTTGGCGGTGGTGTTGTGGTTGTTGTTGTTGAGGCTGAGGATGTTCTTGGGATGGATTGCGTGGTATTGCTTAGGTTTGCACTAATGGCATAGGTGATATCGGGGACGGCAGGTGTGTATCTACAGTTGCTTTACTTTATATCTTTAAGAAGAGACGCCTGTGATGATGTTGATAAATGTTTTACAGCTGTTGCTTCCGCCCCTTGTTCGAGGATATTTGAAATATTTAGGTATATAGATTCTACAAACAAGGTCATTTGCAACCCTGACAACGGGACACCGATTCTGGTTACTACGGCTGTCAAAGGAGTGACCTTGGAGCATCTCTTGGTATAAGACTTGTGTAGATGGCTGGAACGAGCAGAGAAGGATGTATCCATGACAATGGGATATCGGGGTGAAGGAAAAGCTAGTGCTGAGACCGATATTATGGCAAGGTTTTGATGGCGGTCGGGAGGTGGTGATGTGATATCGTCGAGTCCTGGCGGACGACGTCCGACATCGTCAACACATTGGAGAGAGTGGGACGATAATCGGTGGCAACAAGATGGCATCAGCTACGCGAAGACCCCTTGTCATCTTCCACCAAATGCCCAGCCATCAAGTCAGCTGCTAGCAAGAGTGCAATGGTATACCATTCCTATCATCGTCCTACAGTATCCATACAGCAGCCAAGGCGACGAGCCCAAGCCTAACTCAAACCACACGGTGAGGCATCGGCAACAATTTGCCCACCTCGGTACCCCGGACGCCGGAAAAACAAGCCGTCCCGTCCCTCCCGCTCCAGCCCACTTTTTCCTACTCGTGCTAATTACTCCGCCGCTGCCGCATCTGCCCAGACACTGACCAAAGACCAGATGCTAAAGTCCTCATGGCTAGTATGCGGCGTCATTGCCGTGCCTTGAACCCGGTCGATCCCCGCCTCATTTTCGTTTCCCCTTATCTTGCGCGACCTCTTCCTGCCTCCCCTAGATTGGCCGTGGGTCGCCAAGGTGCAGGTTCTTTTCCAACTTGGAGAGCTTGCGATCCCTTTCGTGGATGAAGCCGCAGTTGTGGCATAGAGACTAGCGTGAGTTAGCATATATCCAAGCACTTGAGGTTGGGCTCTTACTCTTGGTCCGTAAGGGCCGTCCCGAACGGCCCACACATTCGATCCCCATATTTTGCAATGCGAGCATCGCCAAGTCGATCGTTCGTTATCGGTAAGGGTTCCACCTCCGCCGTACCCACCCCCGCCGCCGACATCTGGCGTAAATCGCGCGCCGGGCGTGCCTGATCGCGCCAGCGGAGACAGGCTTCGGAATCGCTTCTTCTTCTTGCTACGTTCGCCGCGACCCATGCGCTCCTCCTCTTGCTCAATGAGACCACCAAATCCAAAGCCGACGGGCAAGCCGCCAGCCATGCCCGTAACGCTGCTGAAACGCGCCGTCTCTCTTCTGAGTCGCCGGATCTGTCGCTCTCGGTCGCCTTCTCGCTTCTCGATTTCCTCTTTGCTGAGTGTCTCGAGCTTCGGTTCCCAGTCGTCCGCCAGGTGTTCCGGATCGTAACGCCAGCCGGCACCCTCGCCGCCAGCCGTGAGAGCCGCGTCGTTGGGGAATTCGGAACCGGGCCCGCCGCCGAGGGCGTTTCCGCCCCAGCCTGCGACCAAGCCGCCCGACTCGCATGCCTCCTTCTTGAGCTTGAGTACCGCCTCGTAGATCGCGTGCGTCATGGCAGGCACCCACTCTCCGTGCAAGCCCAGGTCCGCGCAGGTAATCTTGGCGAACGCCTCGGCTGTGCCTGGAGGGTGCAGCAACGACCACTCAAACTTGTCCGTGTACACCTGCGACGAGAGGTTGATGTTTAGATTGATGATGCATCGGTATGTGTCGTCGGGGCTGTAATCATCGGCGTCGGGTGGAATCGGGGTCGCCGCAGCTGTGACCTCTCCAGCGGAGGTCTGCACCGCTGCTGGAGTCGGTGGAGCAGGCATGGCAGACAATCGTGACGGTGTCGACGGCAGGTTGCCGCCCGAGGGTGTGTCAGCCCTGCTGAGCGACGCTGTATTCGGTGCAGGTGTGGACGAGTCGAGGCGGGTCGGCGCCTTGGCTGGCTCGGGAGCGCTTGGCCTGTTGACGTGCGAATGGAATAAGGGGTGAAGCGCGACTCCCGCGTACTCCTCAAGCTGCGTTCGGATTTGTTTGCTAATTTCGGCGGCCAGCTGACCTCTGTTGGGCAAATCGAGATCTTGGGCGAGCTGCATCGCAAACTGGTCCGGCGTGATGAGCGTCTCGTGCAAGTTCCACAAGAAGTTGTCGCGGAGGCGGTATGGAAGCGTCGTCTCTTGCGGTTTGAAAAGTGGGTTGGTCGGGTCCATATTATGGCCCGGAACGGGTATTGCGGGCGGCGGGAGGTATGCGGGCACGTCGAGGTCGATGCGAATGGGAATCAGGGTGAGCGGGAGCGCCGCCTGGGCGTAGTTCTGCTGGTCGGACCGGGTGACACGCGTCTTCCCCATCCACTCTCGCCATACGCCCTGCACTTCGACGGGCGCAGACGCATCTTTGCCCACCTTCTCGCCGGGGTCGCCCTTGGCTGCGCTGTCGTCGCGTCGGAGGCTGCGAAGGCCGGTTGGGCGGCGCCGACTGTCATCATCGTCGTCCTCGTAGTCGTCGTATCCATCCTCTGCATAGTTGATGATAGTGGTGCCTCGCTTGGTGGTGCGCGACAGAGGGTTCGCCGGCGCTGCGCTGGGCAGCACTGGGGTGAGGAGGGAGTTGTTGTATGCGCGCAGCCTCGGCGCGTACGAGGAAAATACGGCCTGCTGCGACTCAGGTTTGGCCGTCATTGTGGAAGATGGATGCTAGAAGCGCTAGGGGTTATCTCATATCGGCCGGATGATGGGGCGGTGCGAGAACACGGGGCCGGGTCGCGGAGGGGGGGGGGTCGAGAGCCGCGACAGCGGCGCGACAATGGGAGCGAGTTCGAGCCAGAAACTGTCGGAGCTAACCTCTGGGAACAAGGCGCAAGGTTCGGCAATGCTTCAATTGGCGATGTATATGGTAACACTACCGCGGGTAATGACGCAGGTGCCGTGGGGAAGGTGAAGCTTGTTGTCTCAATGTCGAGCTTCTGGACGGCGACGGCGACAGCTTCTTCAGCTTCTTTTTCCTGGACGTGCAGTCAAAACGCGACAGTTGGAAGCGCAATCGAAAATAGTTTAGCGCGTTCGGCAGGCAAGGGATGACCTTACCTAAGCAGTGGCCTTTTCGGCTAAACTTCGGCCCCGAAAGCTCTTCACCCAACCCGCATCCGTCGACAGCCAGGGACGCTGCTGTCCAGAGGCTTGATGGAAAACACTCTATGCCAGAACTCGCAACTGGCATCCCAGCGTCCCGGTCGACATTCTGCGTACGCCATCACTTCTCATAACGTGGATGCTTTACTCCATCAGTCTTCTCGTATCGCCTGCCAAAGCTTTCGGCTCTCTGTGTCTCAAGTGATCAACATGACGCCATCCATAAGCATCTATCGAGACTGCTCAAACCCCTTGTGATGACTCTTGTGATGACCAAGTTCATTCTGCGGTACCCTGTAGACCCTTGGAAGCTCTAGAGTGAAGGTCGCAACTTGCGCAAGTCGTTCGTCCAGCCCCCCCCGCGCCGCGGGGGCGGCCCCCCCCCCCCCCCCGCGCGGGCCGCGCCGCCCCCCGCCGCGGCGCGCGGGGCGCCGGGGGGCGGG